TGGGGGCGGGGGCGAATTTTTGGTTTTGCTACCCAGTGTTCTCTGTGTGGGGCGGGGCCGGTGCTTGTCACCCTGAGGGACTCCTGGGGCTCCCCAATCATCTGCCAGTCTGTGTGTTTATTAGCCGCGAGACACATTAGTTTCCGCTGATAAGCGGACATTCACCATTAGGCTTTGCGATTAACTCTTCACGGGCACCCCGGGACACATCCGATCCCACGATCGTCGTCAACCCCTAAATCGACAACAACACCACGTTCTACTGTTACGACCATCGACAGTCAGTAGTATTTTCGTCAATCTCCCCTGACGTGTTACTGTATTGTAGACACATTTAGAAGCGGCACTGGACGGCGAAGTCACTAGGTCCATCTAACGCCACCGATGATCCTGTACAACCGGTCGACCGACACGCCATCATTCTAATATCCCCCCCCCCTCTTTCCTCACGGGAGACATCTCCCGTCACGCAGGGTGCAGTCGCACCTCCACAGATCTCCAGAATCAGCTCTTGATACTGGTAATGGCTCAAAAGGGCCACCACTTGCGGGCTAGTCATGCCCGTACCACCTTTTGAGTGGCTTAATCTTCATCAATCAATCAATCCTCTTTCCTTGCATTCCGAAGCGGCCATGGTCCTCATGAGGGTATGAAGCGGAAGACCTACATACTGGTACCGTCTCCCACAACACCCACTCCTCTCCATGGGCCTCAAATCTCTTAGATAAAACTTTTAACAAGCGGGTGAAAGTTCTACATAAGCCGGACAGCACGTGGACGAGTGACGAGGCCCTCGTTGGCTCGCCTAAGGGAGGGAGGAAGAAAGCAGGATAGGGAAGAAAAGAGGGGATGGATCGAAAAGAATGGAGAGGAATATGGTAACTATCTAGACCAGTGGTTCCTAATATTTTTGAACTCTTTGGGGGGGAGGCCTCTTTTCTAATACTCAAAAGACCTGCGACCCCACGCCACGTTTTGATTATTGGGAAAAAAATGCCTAGTCAGGATGATCACCATTTGCTAATTCTCGATGATTCAGACATACTAGTACTCACACTTTAGGTTCCGCAACCTTCCAGAAAATATTTCGAGATCCTCTTCGGGATCGTGACCCTCCAGTTTGGAACCATTGACCTACACTACCTTCGAGGCGACTGTATAGAATGAGAAAGGAAAAGTAAAATAACCCCTGGAGGGAATTAATAGAAAAGACTAAAGCATCACTGGAAAATTTTTACAAAAGTCATCACTGAACTTGTTCAAAAACACGTTTTCTGTTCTACATTGTGTTCTGTTGCTCTTGAAGCTGTTACCCCGTGTACTCGCCAAATTGTGCTTGAGGGGGTTGAGCTCTGGCTCTTTGGGCCCGCCTCTCAACTGTCACTCAATTTATATATAATATTATTATTATAATTATAATTTTTTTTTTAGCGCTGCTCTTCCTTATGGTAAGCCTCGGCCGTCAGGCCCCTATGTGTGCATTACATTTGACTTTTTTTCTTTAAAAAGTGGTTTGGATTAATATCCTCCAAACTTGTTAAGTATTTTAAAGGTCTCGATGAGATCAGCCCTGTCATATCTGGTTTGCACTTAATACTGTAGCACTTAACCGTTCCTGGTATGAGAATTGAACTTGGTTCTGTGTTGATTTTTGTCTAGTTGTGAACTTTTTTCCAAAGCAGAAATGTCATTTTAAAGTTGAGGTCTACATGCTTGGGTACAGTAGTCCAGATGGGGGCGCTCAGTATACTTGTGCACTTCAATAGCTAATTTTCCTTTAAATCACTCGAAACATTTTTCCAGTCAGATTCATTTCCATTTAGAACGACCCTTTGCTTCCTTTGTATTAACCACCGTTTTATCCGCACGACACGACATCCATTTTAGTATTTTACCATTTATTCCACGTGTTTTTAATTTCCTTGCCAGTCTGTTTTGTTACCTTGATTTATCAAAAGTTGTATAGAATGCCTTCATCTAAACAGCTGGTTACAGTTTCCCCAAAAATTGAGCAGGTTACTAAGGCAAGATGTATTTTAACAAACCCACGTTGTGTTGATTTTAATAGATTGTGCATTGTGAAATGGTGAATGATTCCCTCCTTTAGGATTCTTTCCATGAGTTTGCAGAAATATGAAGGTAGGCTGATTAGTCAGCAGTTTCTTCTGAGTTCTTTCTGCCCTTTGGGGGATAGGGGGTGACATTTACACATTTCCAGCTTAGGGGGAACTATTTCTCGAGCCAGAGATTTCTTGAAAATGAGTTTGTGGTAAACACAGTTCTTCGGTCAGTTCCTTTGCGATTTAGGTTTGAATTACATCCACACCTAGGGCTCTAAATTCTTTTAATTTGACAGTGCTCCCTCTCACTCTCTGATACACACTCTCTCTCACACAGCACAATGGGACACAGGTGGAAGCTGAGTACCCAAATAAGACAGAGATATTAGAAAGAACTTTTTTTCAGTGTCAGTAGTTAGTAAATGGATTGCATTAGGAAGTGATGTGGTGGAGGCTGACTCCATACATAGTTTCAAATGTAGATATGATAGAGCCCAATAGGCTCGGGAATCTGTACACCAGTTGATTGACAGTTGAGAGGCGGGACCAGTGAGCCAGAGCTCAACCCCCGTAAGCACAATTAGGTGAGTACACACACCCACATATACATACATAGTAAAGCATATCATAGTAAATAGGAATAAGGAATAGTTTCTTGCCCGAAACGCTATGCGTGCTAGTAGCTATACAAGAATGTAAGAACTCTTTTTTGATATATAAATAAATAAAAAATATACATTCACGTACGCGCACCTATCCAACTTCTGAGCACACGGGTACCGAGACAAGAAACAGGCAAGGAAAGTGGAAGAAAGGCTCCGGTGTTACCTGCCAGGCACTTGAGCCACCCCTGCAAGGCTCGTTTTCTGTTGCAACACAACGTCTGTTCACTTGCTATGCCAGACTATTCTGCCAATTTTCTCAGAGAAATACTTTCAAATAAACACAATTATACAAATTTAATGAAACTATATTACTGTATTAAGTTCTACATAACTGCAAGAATATTGTAAAACTGGGAGAAAATGTGTGTAGATTATAGTGTGTGTATGTATATGGTAACTAGAGGCCACTTCACTCGGTAACAAGAACAAGACAGACGATGATAGGGAGTCCTGCCTCTCCACCGGCCCCATTTGCTCTCAGCCTCCATCACATCCCTGCTGCTGCTCTCAGCCTCCATCACATCCCTGCTGCTGCTCTCAGCCTCCATCACATCCCTGCTGCTGCTCTCAGCCTCCATCACATCCCTGCTGCTGCTCTCAGCCTCCATCACATCCCTGCTGCTGCTCTCAGCCTCCATCACATCCCTGCTGCTGCTCTCAGCCTCCATCACATCCCCGCTGCTGCTCTCAGCCTCCATCACATCCCTGCTGCTGCTCTCAGCCTCCATCACATCCCCGCTGCTGCTCTCGGCCTCCATCACATCCCTGCTGCTGCTCTCAGCCTCCATCACATCCCCGCTGCTGCTCTCAGCCTCCATCACATCCCCGCTGCTGCTCTCAGCCTCCATCACATCCCCGCTGCTGCTCTCGGCCTCCATCACATCCCCGCTGCTGCTCTCGGCCTCCATCACATCCCTGCTGCTGCTCTCAGCCTCCATCACATCCCCGCTGCTGCTCTTACATCCTTTTCATGAAAATTCAGCATTTCCCATATTTCAATACAAACCTAGCACTGTGCAAAACGAAGCCATGAGGATAATCCTCGGATGCCCCTGTACAACTAAATTACTAAACATGAGGAAGGAACTGAATATTTTATGTGTAAGTGATCGTATCACTGAAATTAATGCTTAATTGGTATCAAGATGCTTAGGCTAACCCACCCTAACCCCTGCACTGAAGCCCTCCAAGCCTTCTTCCTTGAAGGTCAGCATCCCTCCAAATGGATTACCGAAACTGCCAATGTTCTCAGAATGTATGACTTTCATCACCCCTACCAAGAGAGACAACAACAGCACTTTCCTGCCCCATGGGAGATCACTCCTTTCCAAATTACTGTCCCCCCTTTCCCACCCAAGAAGTTGATTAAAGAACAAGCCTTGCTTCGACAAGAAACGCAGTACAATGCCTTAAGCCAAATTGATGCTTTAGTCAGAGAGCGCTCCCTTTCCCAGATTATTTACACTGATGGATCCTTGCATCAGTCCTATGGTGCAGCTGGAAGTGCAGTTGTGACAGGGAGAGATGGTTCCATCTCCAATGAGTGTGGTGCGTGTCTAAGTAACTGGGCCTCCACTCTTCAAACAGAATTGGTTGCCATAATCCTTGCACTCGAGCGCGTATATGAATCCAAAGTTGACACGCTAATTGTAAGTGACTCCTTGTCATTCTTGACTGCCCTCAGCTCCCCAAGGCATAACTGTGACGTGGCCACTCTGAAGCAAGACACAGATATAGTGAAATAATCAATGATGGAGTCAGAGTTTGTCTCCTGTGGATTCCTTCCCATATTGGTCTCCGAATGTACGATAGAACTGATGAGTTGGCCAAGACTTTTGCTCGTAAAGAGGGAATTGATTACCAACTTGGACTGCCTTTGAGCAGCCTGAGGACAGCCATATCCCAGGAACATCAACTAAATTTCGGAGACCTCCGAAATTTTGGCCTCCAAATGAAATTAAATTTTTGGCCTCCACCACCACCACCACCACCACCTCACCAAATTTGTTCCAACCATCACTCACACACACACATACGTGTGTGTGTTTGTTTTTGTTTAATAGCTGGCTGCCATTGGGTGCACACTTGAGCTGCTGTACCAGAGGCAGATTGTGCTAGTACTGGAGAGAGTATTTATTTAAAGTTGCTCACAGCTATTCCTTTCATACATTTTTGCACTTCAATCACATACAGTATAATCTTTTGCTTTACACCTTGCAATTTTTCTTGGAATAAAAATAATCATGTTTGAAGGGTTCTAATAATACAACCTGAATGAGTGTTTTCTATAGATATGTATTTTATGAGAAGCACCATACACCTTGTACTATTGGATTTCATAATTGTTAATGCAGTTGTTAAAGATACATGTAATTTTTTAACATACTTAAACATGATGTTACAGTCCAGTATATTTAAAATATTTAATGGCGGTGAAATTAGTGGATAATGGCCGCATTATACAAAATATATAGCAATGCAAAAAGTAATTAAACTTTATGATCTATTGTACACTCTCCCACTTTATGTAACATAGTTTATAATAATGCATACAGTGAATAATATATTAGCTATAAAGCAGCTATCAATTGAATCGACTAACGATTTTGGTCATACTACAGATACTTTGTGGCAATTTCATACACCAGATGAAGACCTTATTATTAAGGTATATTATTCTCTCTCTCTCTCTTCTGAGGCTCTACTCGCCTAACCACCTCAGTGCACTTATATGATACAAGTAAGGTTGTTGTTGTTAAAGATTCGCTACCCGGAACAAAGCTCCAAGTAGCACGGGCTATGGTGAGCCCGTACTACAAGTAAGGGGTGACCCAGTAGTGTTTTGCTTTTTGTGTAGCAATTCAACTGTGGTATGCTTTATATTCCAAAATTTACTCCCAAAACATACTAACCATCCATTCACCACTGAAATTAATAACAGTGCACCAATGCTGGCAGAAGCTTCAACATAGTGTTAAGAATTTACCAGAAATTACAAAATAAATTATAAACATACATCCAATATTGGATAGACAACTGTGTTGATGTAAACATGAGTAAAGCAAAAGTCTAAAATAATGGGTTGATTAATGTTTGAGAATGTTACAAACAGAAATGTCAAAAGGTATTCCTGTTCCAAGATGGATGCTCATGGAAGCAAAGAAATTCAACAAGCAAATGAACAGTAGTGAGAAGTTTGTACACTGAGGGGTAGCTACAGAACTTCAAAATATACCACAGTATTAAACACAAACAACAGAGGCACTGTCCCAATACAATTGAAACTATAGTATCTCCTTTTCCTAACTCATGAAGGAACCACATACCTTCACTAGAAATCGCAGGAACACCAGTGAACTAATATCAACTTCTTGCAGCCATTTATGATGCAGTACCTCTTAAAAACTCCACTTAAAACTTTAAAAAATACAATTACTGTGGATGAACTTCAAACTTTTTTAAGTGTACTTATTTTTTATATACTTGTACTGTAATTAATTAATCAATTCATTTATCGATTGGGTCTTGAAAATTAACATCCATGACTATTTGAATTTCTGAGACCCATTGGCTCATCAGCAAAAATAATAAATTAGTCACTGTAGCTGCAATTATTTTTATATATTGTATATAGAGTATTTACTTTGTACATGGTATTCTTAATTATAAAAAAAAACCTTAAGACACCTTCAGTAAACTAGCAACAATAAGTAAAATATTTTGAAGCAAAACGTCAATTGTGATCATAGAGCTAAAAATCATAACACGGCCCCAATGCACTGACCATATGAAAACAATTGCTTTAAATATATTTTTGCCAAACCTTATTTTTACATGAATTTTTCCTCAAAAATAAAGATGTTAAAATAGTAAATCCTATAATAATGGCACTTCAGGAAATAAGTGAATTAATATTTTTTACCTTGCTTCCTTTCTTAAATAAATACAACAACAATTAATGCAGAAATTCTTGAAATTTGTAATTAAAATGACCAAATACAGATGACCTAGAAGCAACATAATATATATAAGTTAAGCATTAACATTTACATGTTAATTACATACATAAAACCTTATTGTCTTTAAATACTCAATAGCTACTCAAATTGTTTCAAAACTTATTAGGGCATATATTAAATGTAGGACATATATTAAATGCAAATCACAATAATATATATAAAACAGTAAGCTGACCAAAATTAGAGATTTAACCCTTGCACAGCTCTGCCTGTGATAGAATGGGGCTTGGGGGTGGGGGATGCGGACTGTCAAACTAAGGGTCTGGGATCTGGCCTGCCTATCATAAGAAAAGATCTAAAGGGGTTACCCAACCTATCATATAAAGGGGCTTGAGGTCTGTCCTATCTGTCAAATGAATGGGCATGGAAAGGTTGCATTGAGTGTCATACAAAGGGCCCTTCAATGTTTTTTTTTAATCATCAGGTAGTCTAGTAACTCCTATATTCAATACAGGAATTAATTCTGAAAACTGTCCCATGCTAGGAAAAATATGTAGGTTACCAGTGCCCCCACCCTCGCCTCCTCCCACTGACCTTAATAAACAGTAGTGACCATGTTCCACTGAAACCAAAAAAAATACTAATTTCATTGAACTTGGAGGATATTTGTCAGTGTTCATTGAATACACAATGTAACATTAGAAAATAAGCAAGGACAAAATTTGTGGTAGTTAAACAAATCCACAAGGGTAGTGTAGTTTAGTGTAGTTCTGTGTGTAGTGTAAGTTAGTGGTAGCTTGTGGTGAATTTGCTTTGACCACCACAATCCTGGCCTTGTGTAACCATACAATAGCCAGGAAGAATATATTTGCTTGTATTTCTGCAACTTTTATATAGAAATCTATTACATTCCTATTTGCTTTCATGCACAGAGCAGTGAGCTGTGGCCAACTTAGCTGCAGTATGAGGATTAATGAATAATATAGTGTGAAATAATAGCTAACAAACTCGCACTTAAACTCTCAATTCACTAATGTATTTTTATGTAAAGTGATAAAATACTTCAAGAGACAATATAATATTTAGATTAAAAAGTAGAATATAGGTCACAAGAGACTGACTAGTTTAAGGGCAAAGCTGAAGGAAGACATAGGTCATCATAACTGATCAAAGATGATATGTGCAGTACATGACTAATATTATTTTGGATAATATGAAAACTAGAACCAAAATTAAAAATTTAATATTATATGCTAGAGGGAAAATATAATAGACAAAAGATTTTTTATACAAGATTTTGACATCTAAAGATCATAAATCAGCAGAGTACAGTAAATTGATACCTCAGCATACATGTATCAAAGTTAACGTAATTTTGATGATACTGTACTTTTTTTTATATAAACTGCATTAAAAAATTAAAGGTACATTCTCGCTCATAAAGCTGCCATCTGGGGACTATACCATATAGCCCTAAAAAAAAAAAGTTACATTTAATTACCAAAGCTGCCATTTGTTAGGAATATGAATAATCTATCATTAAGGAGACAATCACTCGAAGTGCAAACGGTGAGTCACAGTAACGTGGCTGATAATATGATCACAAGACCACAAGTCGGAAAATGAAGAAATGACGTTTTGGCCCATCCTGGATCATTATCACAACTTTAATAGTTCAGGACGGACCGAAACGGTCATTTTTTTCATTTTCTGATGTATGGTTTGATCATCACTTGAAATGGTTTTTAAAAAGCATGTGATACCAACTTATATTTTAGCTTTATATATATTATTGATTCATCTTTTCTTACTATCTGTAGTAGTTTATGCTGAGAAACCTAATTTCCAAATAGTAATATGTTCTAACACAGTTTTCAAAGTCATTTGCATTTCAAGCAGCTATGATTTTGGGTTGAGCTATGTAAATCATCATGGAGTAAATTAGCCCAGTTTCTGTAAAAGTAATTATTTTCTCATAAAACGGAAAATTCCTTTTAATTAGCGGTGCATTAATGAGTATACAGTATTGTTAAAATGTTCTTTCCCAAGAGATAATATATTTGAGTACAGTCTTGTTCCAATGCTGTAATGTGCAGCACACACACAAAAATGCATGCCTTCATTCCAATGCTACTTGTTGTGACAACTACTTTGAAATTTCACCTTTTAAGAATCAAGTATCAAAAGTGCTTGAATTGATCACTAGATAGCTGAGGATCATAACTGGACAGAGCTTAGCTTCTCTCATGATAAGTGGGATAAACAAGAGGTTCAATTAGGGGTTATGTGAAGTGCAGTGTGGCATTATTTTAATGTTGTAAAATAAAAGTGCAACTGAAATGCTACCATCAACATTAGCGCAACAAAAAAGCAAAATTACTATATTATTCACTTCATATTTATCAAGTTATATTTCTCGGGTATATGACAAAATACATTTTATTTCTATCCATTTTAAATCGGTTGCATATGACTTAATATACTATCCAAAATGCAATTAAAAAAATTCACAAATGTTTTCTAAGCAAAATATAATCCTGTACAGTAACTGCAAATTCTAAGACTGTCCAGCACACTGCCCAGTACTAAAATATAGATACCCCCAGACTTTATGCAATATCTAGGCTACCATCTAGTCATGGGAGTTTGCAATATTTACCTAAGGGTGCTTAATTTCCTTCAAGCAATTGCTTATTTTTTTGTACCTATACTTCCCGGTGGATTATTCCCTTGTAGAGCAAGCTGGATTCTGCACCTTGCTTCCAGAGGCCTGGTACTGTATGTTGGACTAAGGCCCCATGGTCCCAGAGAATACTTAGTGGTCCCAAATCTAAGCTCATTGGTCTGAGCTGTGCTTGGGAGCTATTGCCCACCAAATGCCCACTAAAAAATGGCACTTTATTATATAAAATTCTTGATTTATACTGCACAAACCATCTTTGAATTCTCATATACATGTACATATATACAACTTCAAACTTAAAAGTTACTAAGACACTCGAGAAATATATATACACTACCCTACTATACAGACGTGTCAAAAGATTCTAGCTTTAATGATGCATATTTATACATACAAAAGTTCCATGAGAAATTGCACAACATTAGTCGGTTATATATGAACTAAAACATATTTTATGAAAAAATGTGTCATATATTTTGTTTTGGTATTCCCATTCTTAAACACTCCTATTACAGTACATATAAATTTAAAATATGCTTTTCACAAAATTATTATTAATCTACGAGGTATATAACATTGTAAACCTGTAATTAGGAGAGGCACATTTAATAATTTTTACCATTTTTTTAAATAATTCTAAAGCCAAACTTCATCTGTATTTTGTGGTTATAAACACTGACAAATTAGAACACAAAAGCCAAACAACAATCGACGACAAAAAACAAAATTTACAAATATTCTGCTTAACTAAAAATAAGTAAATTTTATTACATTATACAGTACCTGTATTTCAGTTCATAAAATATAAAAAAATTCCACTAGGCAGAGGTCTTGCTTCTACGACAGTAAGTATGCAGTAATGTTTTCATACTGTAATATAGTATTAAGCCTTTTAGGTTAAATTTATATTTAATATATCTTCTCATACTCAACATGCATGTTCATGATAATTTGGCAAATTTTGCTAAATGTAGGTAAAACTAGGCTTAATTAAGTAGTACTTGGTTCAAGCAATATGTTTATTTCAGGCAAATTTGTGCAGAGAGAGATATAAGAAAATTAGCATGAATGCTCTGTCTAATTATTGTGTGTGTTGTATTATTCATTTATTTAATTTGAATTAACTGACTTGAATTTCCATTCTAACTTTGTACTATTGTATTGTGTTTACACGATCAATACAATTTCAGCAGAATTTTGTGTTCTATATTTTATCTAATGTTTCACCATACTAATAAATAATATAATTTTAATTTATATTATACAGTACTAACATTTCTCTAAATAAAAAAATGTTACTCAGGAATTTCAACTATACTTGATCATATTTCACACAATTAAAAAAACTTACTTTTAAGCACAAGACTTCAAATCAAAATCCTTTAAACATCTTATCAGATGAGAAGTGGATGAATGTGTACCAACAACTAAAGATAAAATATATCTTAAACATTTTGGCACTAATGTCACCCAAAAATATACTGTATAGTATACAGTACTGTACATGAAATGCATAGACATGAACACAATTGATATCTGGGATCACAAAACAAATAAATGCTTACATCATTGGTTGAACATCCTGAGCACTGCAGGAGTGTGTGTGTGTGTGTTTGAATGAGTGATATGAAAATGGGAGAGAAACAACAGAGGAGAATGTTGGTATCAGTATAGGGGCAACATCTTGAAATAAATGGAGGAGGAGGATTGGATTCCTCATTGTCAGGCACAGGAAGTCTGTTTGTTAGGTTCAAGTACCCCCTATACCAATGACCGACTTTTTCCAGGATTCAGCCCACAAAGTTTCCTAACTCCTGGGTACCTATTTACTTTTATGTGAACTGAGGGATAAGGAAATGTAGTCAAACATCTCCATCCTGTGCAGGGAACCTAACACTGGACCTCTTGGTTGTGAACGACTGTGGGTATATATGGTAAGGAAGACTGTGAAGTGTGTAACTCTTGGGTACAATGAATGATACAACTTTGGGGCAATATGAATGGGATTTCATTGGGGTACTAAGAATGTATAACTTTTGGGCATTTCATATATATATATATATATGAAAGAAAAGGACTTAAGTGTGGTATGAATATGTAATTGTAAATTTGTATGTACAGTATATATATGAATTATCATTGTATATACATTGTAAATTATTTATATTTATGGGGAATACCTTACCAAGAACAGAGGACAAACTAGCAAGGCTATAATCAATTAGTCCTCCATCCAGTCACTAACTAGACCCAACAGTACTGTACTTAACTTGACTGAGCACCAGCCACATCATCCACGGTGCTACATATATACACATGCTAAAATTGGATCCAATAAGCATATCCAGAAGGAATCACAACTGTTGTTATCAAACTGATCACAAAAACTGTCTGCAAAACAACTTATTAAAGCTATAAAATATGTGCACAACCCATGCCATATTTAAAAGCACATTCCAGTAAAGTCTGATACAAAGACATAATTTCTGACATAGTTTTTAACAAAATTAAACACTTTATAATTCCAACAAAGAAAACACTTGAAAGTTGGCACCTGAAATTGTGATCTAAGTTTTGCCCTGCTAAGCCCATTGCTTGCGAAAGATACTTTCATCATCTAGACGTTTGGCTTTGTGTTCACCTCGGCTACAACCTTGATTCTGAAAATATTTCATCAACATTAAATGCAAGAAAACATTTTGTAAATTTATGGTATGAAAATGGCTTTAAGAGAGATAAAAATATAAGCATTGAAAATATTGAAAAAGCTGCTTTCTGAGTGGTCCCTCAGTTGCTGGCCAAGTCATGTACCCTATGATCCACTTGGGGCACAAAAAGATGGCCACACTTTCTTTTTTAACTTTCCCCTCACCATGGCAGGGATCATTATTAATGGTGCTGCCAAGTAATTTGAAGAGGAAAGACATGGAGTGAAAATACTTTATCCACCACCAAAAGACCAGCTCATTATTTGAAAACAGAAAATCTGAACTCTCCAGCCTCCCTGCAAGCGACATATTTTATTCTACAGCAAAAGCAAATTATTGCTCTGCTAACTACTGAATACCCCACTAGCCCAGTCACCACTAGATGGTAACATACTATGTCAGCACGGTCAGGGAAGCCAGCAGCCATTCATTCAACATGACTATACAGTAGCACTATAGTTCACACTTTCAATGTTGCAAGTCAGACTCTTGCATACTGCATCTTTCCATAACATGCCATTCATTTTCAGTTATTATCTTATAGTAAAGTGTTCAACTATTCGGCATATTGTGTAGTATCTTTCTCAATCTCAAAGACGTGTCAGCTGCATTGCTCATGTAACAACCTCACACCTTTATTACTGTCACCTAGATACCTAAGGCATTATTGTATCACCTCCAAGCACAATTCCTAAACCAGTACTGCTTTCAGTTAGATATAAAACTTCCCTCTCTCTTTTTATATATTTTATCACAATGGTTTTTCCCCTACATTATTGGTTTCTACCCATACCTTTTCTTCTTGGCACTAGATATTTTTAAACCTAATATGCATATATTCTTCCTACAGCCAAACATTCCTGAATATGCCCATTATTATATGTGTTTCCTCTACAGATATTAAATTATAAGGTCTGTTTTCTATAATATGCCACATCCATCCTTTCAACAATCAATCTAAACCACCAATTTGTTCTAATGAAACTAAAAGAAAAACACTGCATTGTATATCAATACTGTACCTGTTAATATCGGGGATGTTCCTGCATTCCTCTTGATAAGAAATTCCATTCCTTCTCAACAAGTCTTGGAGAGTTTTAATATAGACATCCTGGGCATAGCTGTATGTACGGTATCTTGCCACTTCTTGCTCAGCTAAGTATCGATTCTGCTGTTCCTCAAACAATCTCTTTTCCCCTGCTCTCTTAACTTGTAATACCATTGCTATATAAAATGATTTAGAGTTAGAAAGCATAGTGCATTGTTGGGATATTAATGTGCATCACTGCCTTGTTTCAATATGAAACTTATCTTAATACTGATAAATAAATTCTATTAATTTTAAGTCGGTATGAAGCTTTCTCAAAATTTGCAAACTGTAAATTCTTGAAATACAATTCAAAAGAAAAAATGACTTGGTCCAAAAGTTTCAAGGTAGTAACTCAAATTGACACAATTCGGAACATCTACTGGTATTATGATGCGTTACTGCCTAATTGAAATTACCTAAGTGTAGTTACAGGATGAGAGTTATGTTCATTGTCTTAGCATTGTCCTCGAACATGTTCATATAAATCCGTATCACTTCAGGTAGAATCATTTATAGACAAAGAATATTACTGGTGCCAGTAATGAGCCTTGTGGGACTCCATATGTGACAGTCCTCGTGATACACTGCCTTTTACCACTGCTCTCTGCTTTTCCATATGTCTATCAGGTTTCCTGTTTGTAAATATACCTGGAAAATTATCTGCAGTGGGTACTAAGCTCAACTATGCATTCTCTAAGAAGCCACAGTGAAATTATCCAAGCAATTTCTTTACGTCATTTGTAGACACATTTATATGCTCTAAAATCTGTAGAGTACCTTGTGCTGTGACAGGCTCATTTTATACCACCAAAATTACTCATTTAGGATTTTGAACACTTCCTTTTCAGTCTCTTCGAATATGTTGCTCATGTTAATCTCTGGATTTAGTCCTCTGTGTAGAATTTACTTTAAATTAATTTATAAAATAAACTGGGCTCTGTTTATAATTTGTTTGTTATCCCTGTTTAAAGTTTTCATTTTCTTTTTTTGTATTGCTGAAATGTTTGCTGTTTAGGCCTCTTTCTGTACTGATTCCATTTCTCTCTCTTAGACACTGGTCCCTCTCAATTTCTGTTGAACCAAACTTGTTTTCCACTTCTGGGTCTCTATTTTGGAGATGAATTTTTAAGTGCCTTCATTATAAATCCCTGGGTTGTTGATCCCTGGGTTACAAGTTTGCATCCCAGAAACACTCTGTGCCTGATATGTATATTCGTCTCTACTGTGTCTGTCGTCATGGGTACCTGATCAACCAGGCTGTGACTCATACGTCAGGCTGCGAGCTGCCGCGTCCAACAGCCTGGTTGATCAGTCCGGCAACCAGGAGGCCTGGTCGACGACCGGGCCGCGGGGACGCTAAGCCCCAGAAGCACCTCAAGGTAACCTCAAGGTATGGGTCTTCTCTGATGTTTCACTTGCCTAGCTATGGCAATGGCATCTCTTTATCTGTGAGCCCTAGTGCTTGGTGCTCATCTGGATTCTGTATCTCACCATGCACTGCATGATTTTGAGCGATTCAGGTGTTTTCCTGTGCTTCTAAAACTTACCAGTAATTGTTTTTCCATATACTGTACAGTATTGCATTAAGTTAACCTAGCTCTGCACAAATTCTTTTGGTTCATATTTTTTCCAGTAACATAACCTTTGCAAGTTCATGAGTCAATATCATAATACAGTGCTATAATAATGTACTGCATATGAACTGTGGAATATTCTACATTGCAAATAGTAATGTTTCAAGAAAGTTTATTTACTTTCCTATTCAATACATGGTATGATATTTTATAAAATAGATTATAAGAATATGCAAGAAACGATACCAAATAGTATCTAGTCAATCAAGTTGAGTCTTACCATTCTGAATACGAGCAACTCTCCACAGCCGCAGGACTATAATAAGTCCAACCCCAGTGTGGGCATCATGAGCGTGCAAGTAAACACCATCAAGGCACAAAGCAACAATAACTACAATGGCATCAAATACATCTCCCTGTAAAAGACATAAACCTTTCGATATAATTTTTTTTTATGTAGTATTCATGGAACGTCTATTTTATCTGCTATACCTTAACAAAATAACAAGAACTTGACAATTTTAAGACTTTATAATAACTTTAAAGACTCCTAGTAATTACCTAGTCACTACTCTGCCTATCACTAGATGCCAGCACTACCAAAATAGTCAAAGGAGCAGAGCTAAAAAGGTGGGAAAGTGAGCAACCAAAGTTCTTGGGAATGAGCATATCATTGCTCCCTGAAGCACCTTCCCACAGTAAAGGCCACCACAAGAAAGATGCCAAAGGCAAAATAGAAATGAGGAAAAGCTCCCTCAAAACATAAAACAAAGATAATCGAGGATACAGGGAGGTGAAGCACAAAGCCAAGAGACTAACACAACCAGATATCCAAAGGAGCACAGAGACCTTGAGTACAGGAAGAACTTACAGTAAAATAGCATGAAAACTGACTCAGGCCAGGAAAATTGGACCAAATGAAACCTGGGTTAGTAAATGAGAAAACACCAGCAGGAAATCAACCAGAGGGCAACAGCAGCTGATAGAGAACAAAATGCGCAAGCCCTATGGTGAGAAACGACCAGTGAATGGGACCAGGCCTGCACCTGGAGAGTGAAAACCCCCAAAAGAGAACATAGTGGATGCCTCTTTCTTGGTTACAGTGAAAACCATCACTGTATCAAAGAAGGCAATCCACTCAGAAGAGCCCAGAATGCCCACCACAAGGTAGGGAAACCAGCAACAATGGGCACAAGCCGAGGAAGTACATAACCACCAATACAGACTTGCCAAGAAGAAATACCACAGGCCAAATGTGCCACCCTTTAAAATTGGAAAAGCACAAATAGTGAGGAAGCATGTACAGTCAGATACCTATATGGCCAATAATCATAGAGGGACAGAACAGAACAGAGCAGGGCAGCAGTGGCACCACCTTGCAGAGCATGGGCACCCACACTGAGATCTGGAACACCAAACCTAGGTTGTTAGGGTACATATCTGGATGCCTGTAAAAGCTGGTGGAGGGGGAACATGGTACTCCCCTACTGGTTAAAAAGTAAAACTTGATAAACCATCCACAGGGAGAGTGGGACACGCCCTAGAGAACCAAGAAACACACTTGCAGAACCAGACACAAGAAACCCTGAGGAATATCTTTTAAGAACTGCAGGGAATATTTGCTGGAATTCAAGTGCTGGATCAACACCCTTTCTTTCCCCTTGCCAAATGACAAAGGGAAAAAAGGTCTGGCCTCACATTAGACCTGGAACAAAAATCCCATTGCAACCAGAGCAAACATTGAAATGGCCATTAACCAACCCATCCTCAAACCAAGTCCATTCCATCCAGTGGTCGACTCCGAAGACGCATTCATAATTTTTTTATATGCTGTTCATTCAAAACAGGAATGTTCTCATTTTCTCAAATATAAATTAATATTACTGTATTTTATATTACCATATTGTACATATATTTTGATTAGGCTAGGAGTTTAGGTTCTGTTGGTGATAATTTGTATTTGTAGTATGCAGGTGAAGCGTTTACAGCATTGTGATTCGAACAAAATTTGTTGGTGAAGCACTTGTTCCGGAAGTGTTTGAACGTCATCAGTTGCGTGTCGTGTGAAAACAGTTTTTCATTCATAAACGGGGCTTGGCGGGTGCATGGAATGGACTTTGGGTTTTTGGAGGACGGGCTGCATTAACAAGGCATCATAAATGCTCAAGGATAGGATAAGAAGCACCTTTCCCAAATATGAAGGGGAAAACGTGAAGCACCGATCCAATGCACAGCCTACATGAAAGAATACCTTGTGAGAGGAAGAATGGGGAGGGCAAAGGCAGTGGTGGTGCCAGTTTTCAAAAAACAGACAACAGGAGTCCAAATAGCAGTAATCTAGCGTTAGTAGGAACTGCAAAAAGCAAAGGATACTGGAAATATCAAAACCTTTAAGGTCAAACAAACCCCAGGTGATGAACTGACTCTGTGCAAAACTCTGAAGGGAACACAAATCCTAATACATCCTGAAAAAAAAGAAGGGAACCCCAAACCCCTCACTAGTCAACATAGGACCACAAGTCCAAGTTACAGTGGCAGATGCAAGCAGGAAGAGCGGATCTGTCCTTACAGATCCTTGCAGATCTGTCGGTTACTCTGACCCAAAGCAAAGCACACAAGGATCATATCAAACCTGCACTATGAAAAAAGCTGCCTCTGTTGCATCTTGCATTCCTAACTGGAAACAAAATCACTATGCTACCAATGTCGAGAAGACACATGGATACCCACACATAAGAAGTCAATGGTTAATTAACAGAGGCTGGGTGTGCTATGTAGTACATAGTATATAGACTGGGTGCAGATTGCAGACTGGGTCATCCAGCTGATCCAGTTTGATCATCAGGGGATGATCAGAATAGAAACAATTTATCAATTGCTAGTTTGTAGTGATAATTGGGTATCCTGGTGATTCCAATTATTAAAAAACATATTTAGCAATAGGGTTTCTGACTTTGTATTGTAATAAGTAGTGTGTAGAATTAGCTCCACCATCTTACCTAACCTAATTATGTGTCCAACCCATTTGAAAAGATATTTGTCAATCTACCATTAGAGTCTGGCATGTGAAATAAACCCTAAGTAGACTACATACCATAGTTAGGTTACATACAATTGTTAGGGTTGTAATTCAGGAAGCGTTTAAGGGTGACCAGACTCGGAAAGCTGATCAATGTTATTACAGTACTCTAAATTATTGATCACATTTTTGTTTTTTTTTTAATTAAAAAGTACTGTATATACTGTAATGTACATATTTTTATTACCTTATGTGTGAAGAAATCAAATTGGTAAGCATATATCTTCAGTCCTATCTCAACAATGAAGAGTGCTAAGACACTGAGGGAGAGTGTGTGCAGAAAAAATGGTATGGATGAAGGAGTACCATTCATCTCTAGGTCCAGTAATAGTTCTGTGATGACCAGCATTGTATCCACCACCACCAGAGCGACCACAAGTACCTAGAACATTTTCCAGAAAATTACTCCTAAGAATGGAACATAATATACAAGTAATGTTTGATAAATCAAGAGAATGATCTCTCTCTCAAATGTTGTACTGTATGTAGCAACTTTGTTAAACTCGAGCATTCCGCTATTTAGAATTACTGTACTGTACATTAAGTTAAATTTACATAAGATATGAAAGTAAGGGACAATGAAATGCAAATTCAATAAGCAAGAAAGGATTTGCTTAATTAAGTGGAGGAGTGAACAAACAGGCAGATGGATGCTATCAAAATTTATGAATATACAGTGCTGTATTTTGTTAATGAAAGAGTAGTACAGTAGTAATATAATAATAATAATAATGGTCAATTACAGTAGTTGTGACAGCAGTAAAGGCATAACCTGTTATGAGGGGTAGAAATTATGCATTCCAGGAAATGGGATTAATAACTGAATCAAGCAACAGTGTACTGTACAAGACAATTATAGGTTACACACAACAAGATACATTTCTGACATTGTAATTTATTACCTATAACCAACATATTAGAGATTCACTATGACGATTTAGAAATAATACAGCTGGTAAACAGGATTTTATAATGTAATACTGTACTATAAACAAATTCATAAAAACCATAAATACAGTAAGTTAAAATGTTCACCCTCACTAGTACTTGGTGCAACCCTGAACACAACAGCATTAGAAGAAAGGATGGGAGTTACTGGCACAAAGATGTACCAGCTTGTAGTTTCTCCCCCTTAAGTGACATGTTTATCCTTAGGCACTCTGATTTCACTGTTCAGTGGCTTCATATAGGAATGATACTTTTTTGTGTGCTTGGATACAATCATTGTGCGTTCAGATTTTGTAACTGGGCAATGTTACTGAATTATCTCCATGCTGATTTGGATGATTTTCTTCCTAAGTTTTATCTATAACTTTTACTCAGTTCATTCGGACTTGGTTCCAAGCCATGGTATTTATTACTGCTGGATACATGTACATTTGGTCACCATGTGACCTATGAGTGTGTGTGATTCATTCTACTATCCCAGGTCTTTTCTGACTGTGGTCTTGTGGCTAAATATAGGGATTGGCATAATTCCAATTTATGCAGCATTCTAGGGTGTTGTATAGTGTTTTCTATCCTGATAGCCATTCTGCTGCTTTCAGCATCCTTCCTGTTGGATGCAAGGCCACTTTGACCCTAAGATGTTTCCTATCTGGCAGGTGTGGATAGTGTCCCTGCTCAACCTTAGTCTCAGAAGTCACTTTAGGTCTCAATTCTTATCTGATGTGGGATCTTTGCAGCTGCCTTTCTTCTTTAAAAAGGATCTGGATGATCTGGTCCAATTGACAAGTTTATCATGACCACAAGACTAAAACGGTGCGCTTCTTTTTCCCTTGTTCCGAGTGCCTAGATTGTTTCCATGGTGGCCAGGAAGCACCCAGTTTCCCTTTCTATTGTGTTATCTAAAAAGGTTCAATCTTCACTTAGGGGGTGATTTTGGAGTCTGAGTTTTCATTACCCACTCCACAGGATAGTGTTTTCAAATGCCCCGAATCACCACTGAAGCTGTCTGCTTCCTTAATTTTAGTCAGTGAAGAGTAACTATTTTCTTCCTAGGGAGAGTCAGAGGCTTCTTTAGAATGACTTCCTCCTTTTGGTATTGCTGGAGTAGGAATGTACTTTCTGGCTAGACTCGGCAGCTGACCCTTTTTCTCTCTGGTGGAGGAGGATGTTCAGTCAAAGGTGTTGAAGGGGGAGGGGATGGCCTGCTTTTTTATTTCACCTTTCTTAGGTTCTGTTGAGCAGGCTGGATGGCATAACTAGGTTTGGGAACTTCTGTAACCCTATGCCCAATTTGTCTGCCTCAAGTTCGGTTCATTATGTCCACTAAGGATACTAATGCACTAGTGCTTCACAGGTTCCTTTTAGTGGTTCCCTTACCCCAGTATGACAGTAGATATATTTGAAAAGCTTCTGCTACACTGGAGCATAAATGTCTGTCTGCCCTAGCTTTTTTGCCCGAAACGCATTGCGTAATAGTGGCTTTAGGCATTGTATGTACTAGCTCTATCTATATATCAATCCATTAATGTAACATCACTTGTATGTATGTACCTTACCTGAATAAACATATTTATTTATTTATTTATTAGCTGTGTCTGGTTGTGTCCTAGGAATGAATGTGACATTGCCTTAGGGGAACAATCAAGTGTTACAGCTCACAAGTAAAGTAGTGTTATTTTTCAACTAATGTTACCCACTATGTAAATATGGCTGGCTTATGTTTATTTCATAGCATCCCTGTAGCAGTAACAAAGGTGTACTGGTATACTCAAATGGTAACCAAGTTACATAGAAAAATATGACAATGTAAAGCATTAGTTGGGACAACCTCATAACAGAATGCCAGGCAAGTACTGATAATATGGAAATTATCAGGAAAAAATTATACTTCATACCTTATTCCCAAAACAGACTCTGGGATTACATCACTCAAAAGATATACCATACAAGTATATTATCTTGTAAGAAATGGATGTTTATGCTTTAACAAACCTATTGCCAGGGATAGCTTGACTTTGATATATAATTACCTGACAACGAGTAGAGCGAATAAAATGTTGTAACTGTTGTCTCACAGAAGTTCGTGATCTAAGGGCAATGCCATCTGAAGACATCGAATCAAGACTGTGAGTATCCTGCAGTCCCCGAGGAACGTTGTCTTCAGTGCCTCCTTCACTATCCAAATTAATTTTGTTTCTGTCCATAATGTTCCTGAGGATAAAATAAATTTAACACACCCCATAAATTCAGATATACAATGTAACAATATTTTCATTTCCACATACAGCATCAAAGTTTAATCTTCATTTCAACATAAAATTAATGTTATTCATTTCAAGCTCCTTGAGCCTGCATTTAGCATTTTGATTAACTACAACCAAAGATTTTTCTCAAGAAATGCTGCAATCACTTCCTAAATTTATGCACTGTATACTTATGTATGCTCCACTTCTTCGCTTATGTAGTTAAATTCTGTATTGCAGTCACAGGCTACCGTATAATATTTTATAATTTATTTTATTTGTATATAGTTCTGTAATTTAGTGCATACATTATAATTAACATAAAGGTCAGAATCTTCAACAATGGGTCCAAGCTAGATAAATTTTATTTTAGAATGCACAGAGGGAAGTATAGGAAGTCCCCTACTTACCATGGGCTTGTGTATTTAATTTTTATCCGTAAGTTGATCAGTCGGGACTCGGACCAACATTTCCAACAGACTCGACTATATAAATTGGAGAAAGGTTCCCAAAGTACTGTACAAATAATTGGCATACAGTACTGTACTTAATTCTTTTTTAAATTCTGTACTGTAAATTGTAAATGATGATGAATAAGTACTAGTTTTATTTACAGTACTGTATATTGAATGTACACACAAATTGTTACAAAACCCACTGACCTTTTTTTTAAATACAAATAATAAAAAGTTTGTCTTTATATAATAAATGTTTATTATTTTTATATGTAACCTGTAAAACTTGGCCCAGATTTCAGTTATTTTTGTTTGCTAAATATAGGAAGCAAATGTGGGTGATTGTAAGCTTTCTACTGCTGCCCACGGGATGGGAAGGGGGGGGGGGGGACGGTTTACAGGATAACCATATAAATTATGAGACTAGCTCTTCACATACATAAGGAAAGGAAAACACAGGAAAAAAAAGTGATTCAATTGTATAAATCTGGTGAACCCCCTATTTGGTTTACTGTTGGTTTACTGATTTGATTACAAGCATGGAGACCTTATCTTCAAAAGGGCATAGCTGCTCTGGAGAAAGTGCAACACCGAGCAACAAAAATAATTCCAGAGCTAAGTTAACTCACTAGGAACAGTTGAGGGCCACAGCGCTAACAACACTGCAAACTAGGCATGACAGGGCAGATCTCATTAGAACTTTTAAAATACTGAATAATTTGGAGGATGCTGATCTGGACAATTTCTTCAAAAGGTCAGATGTAACACAAACCAGAAGCAACAGGTTCAAGCTCAACAAGCCACATTGTAGGACTGAGAACAGGAGATGCTGTTTCACCCACAGGGTTATAAACCCATGGAACTGCCTACTCGCCAAAGCCATGACAAAACTGTTTGATTTTAAAATCCAATTGGAAAAGATCATCAGGGCAACTGGGGGGGACCTTTGACAAGCTGCCAGCTTCCTGGCCTCATCAAGGCTGCTAAAGTGTTAGTGGCCTTCAGGTAAATTCAAGTAATGTGCTTAATTTAGAGATTGTACATGTGGTTGGTCTGAATCCATTGTTGATGAGGCAACGTATATTAAATATTGTAACTAGCTCATCAACCTGCTCAGCTAAATGAATTTTGGAGTTCAGTTCCTGAGCCCATTAAAGGCCCCTGTAATTTATCCCTTTCCATTGCCGCCCATAGGATGATTATGGGGTGCATAATACATGAACAAAACAAAACCTGTCGTTAAGTCACTATCTTCATTTTTAAGGCAATACATTCTTTAGTGTCAGTTCATGTACTATATACTGTAATTCCTAGTGGGAACTGCTCTGCCTTTCCCGAGTAGGGCGCCTTGATATTGAAATTGAAATAAGTTTATTGAGGTAAAATACACACAAAGGGATGAGGTAGCTCAAGCTATTCTCACCCCGTTCAGTACATCGTGTTAATACATACATATACACACATTACAAGCAATAAACGTATTACCGAACATTCTGAGAGATAAATATATACATTTCCTTGGGGCGCCTTTGTCCAAGATTTGGTCAGGTTCTTCCCACAGGAAAGTGCGTCCCAGACCAATGTACCAGTGTCTGTGCAGCATTAATTTACATATGCTTTCTAACAAAGTTCTTGGGTCGGACTCTGTCGAATCAGTAACGCTTTACTTGTTTAATGATAAAAAAAACAAGACAAAGCAAACCGTTCAAGACGAATAAATTGGTACCCATCATGTGTTAGCCAGCCTCCAGACATTTATAATTGAATATTTAATGATCGTTTATTTCCTAGTTGATCGTAGCACGTAAACCATATCATACCACATTGTTACTATATATGTTATGTTACTGTATGAGTGTCATGCCCATAGCTATCTGAATACGTACCTGCGTCCTGCGTACACATAAATTCCTGAGATGAATACGCTCTTACGCAGCTGTGGTCTTAGAGCGCCTCGGGGCCTGCTGGCCTTCACACCTTGTATAATACAATGTATCCTCTCACTTCTCAATATTATACCCTCATTTATCTCATATTTACGTATCTAAAGGTAAATTATTTGCTTGTTTGTTGAAAAAGGAAGTTTTTATTAATTAAAAGAATATTCTTTTGCAAATAATAGACTAAAGGTCCGTCTCACTCAACGTTTTTAGCAGTAAGAACTGTGTCGATGACGTCATGGTGGAGCACTTTGCATGTAAACAACTGATGGTGATGCCAGCCCGGGCTCCCTCAACCTCAATGTTACTCCAATTACAATTGGGCACATCCGATCCCTTGTTCGTCGTCGCCACTCAACCAACAACAGTAGGCATCCATCAGTCTCAGGAGACTATGGAGTTGCGCTCTGGTTTTCGGTCTGGCGTGGCCTCACC